CGCCCCCAGGGAGGTACTCGGAGCCTGGAAGGTGGTCAGGCACAGTGAGGTGGGTGGCTCAACGCAGGAGCACTCCCTACTGGCCCGCCACAGGGGCCAGTGGCCTGGGGGAGAGCTGCAATCTTCTCCCTGCATGCCCCTGCCTACAGAACCAGCACCCGTTGCAGGAACGTGTGGGCAATGGATCATGGCTCTGCCCCAGGCACCAGCCCCACGCTACCATAGCCCATGATCCTGATCATACCCCTGGCTCCACTCACCTGTCCCATTCCTGGATGCCGCTCTCTGCCTGCAGCTTGATCCCATCTGTCTGGCTGTGCGCCCTGGCCAGTGGATGCAGGGCAGATGGGCCAGGGTGCCTGGGCAGCAGGGATGGGTCCAGCAGTTGCAGTAGGGACTGGCAGTGGCATTTGTAAGGAGCTGTCACTGCAGGACTGCTGGGAGGTACAGCCACCATATCACCCCAGCCCCGCTGAGTGCCTGGGGTGGTGGGACTGGCCACATGTGCCACAGCCTGCGTGGGGCCAAGGAACCTAATGCAGGCTGGACAAAAATCCCTTGGCAGGTTGGATCTGGCCTGTGGGCCGTATTTTGCCCATCCCTGGACTAGGGTGATCATACACACCAGTTTGTCTGGCAAGTCCCAGATTTGGTGGGCTGTTCCGGTGTCCTGACCAGTTGGTGAAAATCGAATCAAAAGTCTTGGAATCACAGGGGCCTCAGACACAGTCCAGCAGAGAGGCAGAGCAGCATGATACACCAGGCAAGCAGGCACACAAGCACTGCTGCAGCTGTGTGGGAGCAAGGCAGGGGGACTGGAACGGTGCTCAGCTCAGCCCAGGCTCCAGCCACTGCTCAGGAGAAGCCAGGCTGGGCACGTGTGGGTGGGGTGGCACCTGCTCCAACACTGTCTGGCTGCCCACCAGGCACACAATGCCATTCCACCTCCCCACTGAACTGTGCCCTGCATGCCCTGCCTCTGCCTCAAGCACTGACTTGTGTGGGGGCAAGGGGGAGCAGTGTCCCAGATTTCCTTAAACCTAATATGGTCACCCTATAAATGACTGAAGGCTTCATGCCTGGGAATAGTTGCCCAAGAATTGCCAGAGATGTAAATGAGCGAGGTCATGTACTTGTCTGCCAAGATGCGACAGCCTCGTAACTAGCCAGAGATTATAACAGCAGGCAAAAGGTAATGTTTTCAGTATGAAAGCTTAGTGTCAACAAGTTCAAGAGTACCCCTAAAATCAGACTGAATTGACTGATTCACCAAAAGAGACTGAACAATGATTGCAAACTCTTAAAACTGCTTTCCCCTGCCCATCAGCGTTGCCTTCAATTTGCTCAGATTCAGTTTATACTAACTGTTCCTTATCCACGTACTGCTTTTGTACAAGCACTTGACAATCTTTGCTGAAGAACAGGTAAAACCATGTGCCATCTGCTTATTGCTTACGTCTGTGCTTTTTGACTAGTTTACCACTCTGCCCAATGTTATATGACAGACCTACATTGACATGAACTGCAGCTGCAAGGTAATACAACAGTTATACACACCTGTAAGCTCAAGTCCCACAACTCAGAAACATGTACCAAAGGCAAATGAGTATGGAATAAATTCAGAAAAGTTTCAGGGAGATAGATTACATAACATATTTCAAGATAAATTAAAAACTACAGAAAACATAGAAAGCAGAGACAAAGACATTAAGAGCAAGATAGGAAACATAAGGCAAAGCAAAGTTGTGCAAAGGCATAAAAGTGAAGGTACATAGTGAAAAAGAGTAAAGAATATGGGTACACCAATAAAGATTTTTTGGCCAATACCAATAGCCGATGATTAAGCAACCATATCAGCCAATCCAATAACTAATATTTAGTAATACTGCAAGGCATTTTAAAAATACTGATATAAATTAACTGTGTTTCTTTTGCACTTAACACACACATATACACACATGCTTGCCTCCTGCCTGCTCCAGCTCCAATGAGGAAGGCGATGACAGCTTTATTTCCACATATTGCCCCCTTGCCCACAGCTCCTACCCGCAGCCCCGCTCAGCCGGTGTTGCCATCCTGGGCGGACAGGGTGGACCCTTGAGCAGACAATGGTGCTGGGCACATTTGGAGACCCAGAGCACGCCACTGCCTCAGTGCTGGCAGACCCCACACAGCCAAGCTCCCACAGTCACCAGGGAGAAGCCGCTTTTGCAAAGACACCCGGTACGTGGCAGAGCAGAATGTCCCTCACCAGGCACCTTACCCTGCCCACACGCAGCCTGTCTCTGCCGCAGCCCTGGTATTCAGGCCCTTGCACACAGCGTTGCCATTGCAGCAGCAGCAGCTGTTAATGGTCCCTTTGTTGCTGAGTACTGCGCCCTGTGACGGCTCCCCAGCACTCCCTCCCCCTGCTCACTGTGACCTGTATTCTGCCATGGGCTCAGGATGGCAGTGGAGCATGGGGACTGGATTATCCTCGCCAGAGTGCTCCAAGTACACGGCGGTAATCAATCGGCTACAACAACGAAAAAAAGCCGATAATATTAATTCTCCTTTTATCGGTGCCGATCTGATAGTCAACCAATATATCAGTGCAACCCTAGTAAAGAATAAAAAATTTAAACAGTAAGAGACTGAAGGTTATCAAAAGGATTCAAAACAAGCTGAATGTAAAGTGACACTAGCCAAGCAAAAAGAGCGGAAGTTAAGTGGGAATAGTATTTTGACATTTAGGGAGGTAGTGGAGGTGTGGGGATGAAAATGGGAGACATCAGAAAGTCTGACAAAGATGATCTGTATGTGGAATTTTTTTAAAGAGGTGAGCTTAAAGCAATAAGAATGGGAAAAAAAAGAATTTTCTTTTAAGTGTTACTATCCTAGAATAAATAAACAGAATGTTTGAGACCACATCCTTCTGTAATATAAATTAACATCTCTTATGCTATCTAGCAAACTTGATACCTAGCAATCTTTACTCAGGAGTTCAAAAGTCCCATTAATCATATACAAAAATATTACCAGCACTTTCCTCAGGGCAACTGAAATACTATCATACTTAACTAAAATTCTTCTTACATAATTCTCTATTTCCTCCCAAAGGATTTTTTTTATATTTAAATATTGAAAAACATGTTTCAGAAAGAGACTAAAAACTAAACATTTCCATTTCAATCTTACATTTTAGCATACACAGCTGTCTTTCTTTCATTAAATGGTTTGTTCTTAACCAATATGTCTTCAGTCAAAGGTGTGGTGTGGTAGTTGTGATGGTCCAGAAATTATGCGAGTGGCAAGGATTTTTTTTTTTGGCCCTAAAATGTATGATTTCTCTCACATCTTTAACCAAACAATCAGCTTATTCCACACATTAGGAAATAAGAGGTCATCCCTCTGATAGCCAAGTAACATGCACTTTCCCACAAAACATAAGCTTCTTGGTGCTGAAGTGCTTACCCCTTCACAGGCCAGGAAAAATATTTACAATGGAAATTATATTGACAGAGAACAAATGGGTTCTTAGTTTATTAAAGATACAAAAGTTAAGATTATACAGATTGAAAAGTATGAATTTGAGCATCTCTGACATATAAACAATTTGTGGTAATGTTTTCTGACGCTGCTTCTCTCTTGATTTCTCTATTTTTGCAAGGCCTAATAGACACACTCTGGAATCATGATTACATATGCATGATTCCATATGTAAAGCTGTTTTCTTATCTGGAAAAGCAGCACTCCTGGAGACACTATGCATGCTATGCAGCAGCCAAGATAGCTGCCTTCTGATCAGCAAACTGAAGGGGCACAGGCTTGTGTTAACCCGCTCACAGCTGTAGCTATTGGCTGAGCATTGTAGCTTGTACTTGAAGCAGCGAGTGAGTTGTTGGTAGTATCTTGATGAGGCTTGTGATCAGAAACAGCACTTTATTTACAAGAACTTCTATAAAGAACTACTTACAATAAAGTAGCAGTCTTGCTACTGCCCTTTGCAAGAGTATGGGGCCTAACCTTACATGACAGAAGTTCTCCTAGAAACAGTGTCCCAGTAGTGTGACACTGCAGAAAACAATCTGCCACACCAAGAATTTCCTGATGTCACACTTTCTGAACACTCTACATTTCCAGGACATACTCTATACCACACAGTCAGCCACAACACTGGAATAATCTTTCTTGCTACATTCTGCCTTCCAAAATCGAGGTGCATGCTTTATTTGCAGGGTGAGGGGATGTTGTATGAAAGAAAATGTTTGTCTGGTACTTGCTATGGAAGAATAAGAGATGTTTCATCCTGGAAGTTACTATATATAATTACATTACAAGCTAATGAAGGAAAAGCAGCAGCTTTTCAAATAGGATATATTTTTCCCCATAGCTTCTGTCTCCCTAGAGTTTGGGTTAACAATTAACCTTCATGGAAGAGTTGTTTTAAAAAGGATGTGAATAGAGAGAGGTTAAGTAGCTAGTGCACAAGTAAAAGACTGCTGCAAATACCAGTACAAGAGATAAATAAGCCTAGCATTAACTCCTGAGCCCCACACTAACGAGGCTACTTACCATAAAATACAAAATAAACTTTAAAACATTTTAGTTCTTCAGCAGTAACAGTGGAAACAATAATGTAGACAAGGAACAAGCACTGGAACCATGGTGTTGTCTAAAACCACTGCAGGAACTTAGGTACAGCGATAAAAATCACTTGACCCCCTACTTACACCATCAATATTTGTAAAGTGACAATGGAGAGTTGCCTAAAAAGTGCTACTGCAAACAGCCCTTTCTGACAGCTCTCAACAAGGATAACAGATATCGATGATAGTCCAAGAAGTTGCAAAATTATTTTTGTCCTTTGCCAGCTCTTCATTTTATTTTAGGAATGCCCACATGAATAAAATACACAATTCTAAATGTCTTCTTTACATTTACAGATACAACAATAAGAAGAGCTTGCAGGGCTTAAACTAATCGATAAAGCAGCCTCAGATATAAATACAGTACATTACCTTGAACTGAGGGAGGATGTTGCTCTTGTGGCTTCTCCTGTGACAACAGCCCCAGGTAGCTGAGAACAACATACTCTGTTTCATAGTGAAATCCTACAGGCACAGCAGCAGAGGACGCCATGGAATTGGCTTGTAATGCTCTACACAGTTAAGGGGCGCGTAGTTTTTCCTCTGGTTAGCAGGTGAATACTGAAAGGAAAAAAAGTAATTTTTGTAAGGAAGAGGGAAGAAGGCCATGCATTATCTTACAATAAGAGAAAATCATGACACTGGATTCTGCTTAAAAACATCAACACAATGTTCTATCTCAGGGCTGTCCAACTTTTAAGCAGCTGGAGGCTGCATCCCATGAGGGCTACACCCGCAGGGGCCACACACTGCACGGCCTTCAATAGCTCAAACTGCAGACCACTTGGACAACACACCCCCTCACTGCTGCACCCCATCCAGGGGCAGCCCCGCCACCATATACAGGCTTCTCCAGCATCACCCCGCCCCATGGTGCAGCTGAGGAAGCAGAAGCTTCCCGGAGATCCTGGCTGTTGCAGCAGCCAGAGCACTACAGGGTACAGCAATTGCATAGTAGACTAAGGACCACAGGCACAGTGGGCTGCATATAGCCTGCCAGCTGGACAGCCCTATTTTATCTGAATAACGTATGGAGAATGTATACACTGGCATTCAGTATAAGATGACTTTTTTTTTCCTTTACTTTTCATACCATCTGAATACACGTGTCTGGGATAAGAGATACCTTGATCTCTCTTACAAACAAAAGTTTCTCCAGGTAGAGATATGCAAAGGGGACACAGTCAACTAGAAACCTAAGGAGAGTTTCTCTCCCCATCCTTAATCCCCAGAGAGTAGTCAAACATTTCCTTTGCTTCTGCTATTTTTCCTGGGTTTCCAGCATGGTTGATGTTTATAGCTTGTACACAAACTGACCATTGTCATTCAGATTCACTTTAATGATCTAACACAGGTGGTGTTAGCAGGGGGTACGCTTATCTCTAGGGATACTTGGAAAGGTGATAGGGGGTATGCACAGGTGGGGACGGAGCATGCCCTGGGGCACAGCAGCGGTGTCTCCCCCAGCATGTTCCCACACATTGCCATTGCCCGGGGGTGAGGAAGGGGCACGCCAGGCACCACCAGCCCCACACAGCACACTGTAGCACCTTCCCACCCCAGCTCGCTATCCTGATTGACCATTGGGCTGCTGCCCTCGGTCAATAGCCAATGGCGAGGAGGCATCGTAGCCACACCCTGCCTGCAGATCTGCAAGAGCAGTGAGGCGCAAAGGGTCTGAAAGGCAGGGTGGGTGGGAGCGTGTTTCTGTGCCTGCTTCCAGGAGCAGGGCAGGGCGTAAAGGGCAGCAGCACCCCTTTGCAGATGGACGTGGGGCCGGGGGGCTCACACGCTACAACCCTGCGCTGCCATGCACTGCCCCGTTCCACCACCATGTGCTGCTTTCCCATGGTCAGTCACACATGCAGTTCCACAAACTGCTGATACGCAGCATGCAACTGGCTGGGTGCAAAGCCCATCAGCAGCCCGCAGAGCCGCACATGTGACTGGCTGTGGGAAAGTGGTGTGCAGCAGCAGCCACGTGAAAGCCGCCCCCACACTGCTCTGTGTCCAGCCACCACCACCAGAACGGGTACACTTGTTAAAAAAGGTTGAAAACCCTTGATCTAACAGAAGCAGCAGACAGCACATGGTCAGAAAGAGAAAAGAAATACCATTTTCTTTGGGGGCCCTGGAGAACAATTTTCCTTCTAGCAGCTGATTAGGAGAACTGGATTTCTTACACAGGCATTGTCCCTTAGTACCAATGGATAAGACAGAAAATGCAGATATCTTTAACAGTGACATATGGCTGATGAACTTTCCATGCCCTAGTACAGGGGCGGGCAAAATACGGCCCGCAGGCTAGATGTGGCTCGCTGGGCCATTCTATCCAGTCCACAGGACCCCTAAAAAAAATTTAGAAAATTAATATTTATCTACCCCCAGCTGCTTGTCATGCGACCCTTGATGGCTTGCCAAAACTCAGTAAGCAGCCCTCTGCCCAAAATAATTGCCCGCCCCTGCCCTAGTACTTTTATATATTTCCCTTTATAAGCAGTCAGATGAGAAGAGCAGCAAAGAACATAAAGTCAAGACCTGAAATATGACAGCCAAGAAGGGCCAGAAAGAAGAGTCAGTTCTCAAATAAAGGCAAGAAAGAGAAGGGGAAAAAAGGGTTTGGAACAGAATTTTTTAAAGTTTTAGGTCAGAGGTGTTAAACATATGGTCCAAGGGCCACAGCTGGCCCATGGAGCTCTACCATCTGGCCCCCAGTGGTGCCCCCGAGTCTTATCAGTGCGGGGCCAGTATGCAGACCAGATTGGGCCCACAGACCTCATCTCATTCCCCTAGCATACCTGATCCAGTAGCTGCTCCAGGCACCATGTGGAATGAGTACTGGAATGGCAGCCACCCCAGCCAGACTGTGCCACACATGGCACCTGCTCTAGGATGTATGCTGCATGATGTGTCCACTCCAGCCAACCACCAGATCAGGTATGCTGGGAAAGATGATGGGGGAGGGGATCCATTAGCCTAATCCATCCCACGGACCGGCCTCACCATGGATGCTGAGTATGCGAGGGCCCAAGGGCCCTGCCACCCCTTGGGAAGAGGGGTGTCACCTGAAATGCAGAAAACTTTCCACGTGTCCATCATTTCCGCCCCCCCAACTCCAGCAAAAATAAAAGTCAGTGCCTACAGATCAAATTAATTTTCACACCCTTGTTATAGACTCTTAATTGACATATTTTTTATTTATTTATTTAAAGTTTAAAACGGCCAACTATTTCCACTGGGGAGCTAGGCAGACAGTGTGATGAAAAGTTAACTTCTACAAAGCTGAAAAGTTATCAATCGTTTCAGATGGTCATTTCCAAACTAGCAGTGGTATACACTGTTGTTGAAATTGAGAGCAACCAATATAATCCCCAAGAATATAGGAGCTATATAACTATTTGATAGGTTCTGAAGGACTCCAGCACATTAATAATGTGACAGCATTACTTTTAGTAACATACCTAAAGCAAATTTAATGCTGCAGATATGGTGGGAATTACAGGAATAACATTTTATGAAATATCAAGCATCCCTTGGGCTTTAAGGGCTCCCAACTATTTAAATCCCAGAAAGCAGTCATCAATATAGAAAATAGGTTTCAAGTACAAGTACAATCCACTTTGCAAATGATGCTTTAAAAAAAATATTCTCTGTCTGTGCAAACAGGACATTTAGGGTAAGTTCCGTAACTCCATATGATTGGAGAGGCACACACGTTGCTAGATGGTGCAAATGGACTGTGGAGAGTAAGCAACACTAACAGTACACTGGCACCAGTTGTTCTGAGATGGAGTGATCTGGAAAAGATAAATTAAATTATAAAAGTTGCAAGGAGACAAGAGCCAGTGGGGATTCAACAAGGGGTGCACTAATATAGATTTTCTTGGCTGATATTAATCAACTGTATTGGCAGATGCTGATCCAATAAACGATATTTAGTAATAATGCGAGGCATTTTAAATTACTGACACAAATAAACGTAAAACAAACAAAGAAGTTTATCTCACATACATACACACACAGCTTTTGTTCAAGTGCCCCCCCCACCACTTCTAAGTGTAGGGATGCTGATACAGAAGATGCAGTGGCCCTTTAATTAGAGTCTCCCATGTGAGACATAAGAGCGCGTGTAAAAATGTCCGTGCCAGTTGCAGCAGGTGGGGCTAGCCTAGCAGTGCCTGCAACTGGCTGTGTGGAGCCTTTCAGCCCCTGCTCTTCTGCATGATGCCCTTGAACTCCAGCCCAGAGACAGCTGCCCGAGCCTGCCCAGCAGGGCTGAGGGGAAAGGAGTGAGCCTTCCTGGCTGCCCAGGGCTGGGTGGTCTCTGGGCCAGGCTCCCCACTCTCCTTCATCTGCCCAAGTCAAGGCCACAGGATCATTCTAGGCCTGGAGAAACCAGGCAATTCCTTCTCCACAGTCAGGACCCAGGTCCTGGGAGCTGGACTCCAGCAAGGGAAGGGCCCCTTCCACTCCTGGTGCTGCCCTGCCAGAGGCAGGTTAAGCTCTCATGTCTCACATGGGAGACTGAATGGACCCAGCACTGGGAAGGGCAGGACCCAGCTGGGCTGAGGGAAGGACCCTGCTCCACACTGGGGGTGGGGGAGGGTAGCAGCTGCCTTAGTCCCTGACAGGCTCTGCCCCCAGGCCCTGGGGCGCAAACCTCCAGGCACTGCGGGTTAAGTCACGCTGGGCTGGGCCAGGCAGCTCACCCCAGTCACGTCTTTGTGGCATTTGGCACCTTTTACAATGCCTGTTCCAGCCCCAGCCTGTAGTCTGTGCAGCACCAGTGCCTGGGACACCACAGCAGCTGCTCCACTCCAGCCCAGCCTGGCAGTGAGGGGATGTATCCGGGGTCACCCTAGGTCGCAGGAGGGAACCCAGGCATCTGGGGGCCTCAGCCCCATGGGCAAGAGGGAACCTAGGCATCTGGGGCCCCAGCCAGAAGGCATAATTATCAGAAAACATTATCAGCTACAATGGCAAAAAAAGTCAATAGTCAATGTCATTTCCTTTTAATCGGTGCTGATCTGATAGGCAACCAATATATCCGTGCACCTCTAGACTCAACTATGCAATTCTTCTTTTTAGACACTTAATAGTATCCTGAAATCCTTTAAAAGATATATTTGATAACTGGCTCTGCTGCTCACTTGATTGTAACCAAACTATACAAGTTTAATGGCTTTTGAGTCAACAGTTATATTTCGTCTCACAGCAATTTTCTTACACTTACATAGCACCTTTCATCCGAAAGTGCTTTATAGATAAAATTATAAATAATGCTTCATCCACCAATAAAATTCCATTGTTTTAGGGATGTAGCAGTACAAACCACTATGCTGCTATAGTTTGGTACATTACATTAGATGAAAAAACCACCACAGCAAACTGAAACTGCGAAGAAAATGTAGTAAGCAAAAACATGCTTAACTGAATTAGGCCAGGACACCAACTATAAACTGTATTTTTTTAGTTAAAGATCCCAAGGCTCTTTTCACATCAAACAATTCTTAGGACTTCATTTTTATGCTTATTGTGGAAGATGTCACGCTTCACCAAACAAATGTACCTCAAATGTACCTTTGTTCAATACAGTTCCAGTACTGAAGCACTATACTATGAATTATCCAAAAGCAATTCTGAACAAGTAACAATGCACTGTCCTTAAACTAAATATTTGGATCAACATAGAGAGGAAAGAAGAAGAATCTACTGGCATACAAAAAACAGGAATCCAAGCAAACACAGAAAACTCCATGTGTTTGGAATCAGACTGAGACCCAATTAAAAAAATATTTCAGTATGTTCAGCTACACATCTCTGACAGGCTGTTCAGATAAAAGTTAAAAATGTTTCCCCATGGCTTTTTTGTGGAGCACAGCATAAATTTAATAAATAAATACATGAGAAAAATAATAGGCTAAAAGTGAAAGAGTCTAATTATTTTAAGACATTCCTGGAAAATGCTCAAATACTGGAATGGAGGATGGAATAAACAGCTGCATAAAAATATTAAAAATCTTGAGCTTTCACTGACAGGCTCAGTCTTCAGAGAACAGGGATATTTCAAAATCATTGGCCATTGCTGGAGAATGGCCTACAATGCAATAATGTAGTTACTCAATTTAATCATGATGATTTAGTTAAGATTTTTTTATGAAGCAAAGAACACAGAAAATATTGATTTTATAGAGTAGGCATTTCAGACAAGGCCAGTTTTCAGGAATGATTTTTAAAGACAAGCCAAGCAGCTTAGAAGACAGAGGGAGAGCACTCCTTGAACAGACAGAAAGAAAGAATAAGCATAGACAGACTTAGAGGAGAGAGAAGGCTTATCAAAGCTGACATTGCTAGAGCAAAGGGAGTAATAAGTAACATATATCTTAAAAGCAAAGACAAGAAGTTGAAAGTTGGTGCAAGAGAGTCCACACAAGAACAACAACTCTTTATCAAAATAAATGGCTTAAATTCATTATGGTGAATGGCTCTCATATTTCCTCAATGCCCAGGATCCCTCAAAAAACGCTATATCTATTCAAGGTAATGTGTCCTTATCCTTACCACAACATGTTTCTGCCCAAAGGAAAAAAATCCTCTTATCCGTTTCAAGTTGGTTGAATGGCTCAGCAAGGCAAGGTTGGCTAGCCAGTCATACTGACATTTCCTCATGCAACTTCTCTCACACTAATCTACAGCAGGGTCATGCATCAATTACAGTATGAGGAAATACAAAAGCTACGCCCTAATGTAATAGCTATAATCTTTTGGTAGAGACTGATAAATTTTAGCCCCTGACTATGGAATGACATCTTAGTGCACCTCCAGCTACATATTTGCCATCCATAATTTACAAGAGAAAATACAACTGTATTAAAATTCTGCATTTAAAGACAATATGCCAGATGGCACCAAGATGCATTAGTATCTATTTAACTATTTAGGGTCAGAGATGTGCCCTACACATTCAGTTTAACTAACAAAATACAGTTATTTGTTGCCACGTTCACAAAGTATTATACGAGGCTAATATCCTTATAGTGTGTCATTCAATTTTCTTGGGACAGCCTTCATTGAAAAAATACTTTGTTATAACTTCTGTATTGCATCTTATTTGAGATGACTGCCCTGTCAGGGGGATACAGGCTACACTTCAAATTGGTGCAAGTCATCAGCTGCTAATAAAAAAAAATCACTCTATACTGCAAATATAATACTCTATGCTGCTAGGGTGCTAGTCCACAGCATGACCATTCTCACTTAAACCAGGCTAGCCAAGCAAAGTGAACTGGAGAGCAGATAACTGCAGTTAACCCTGCAGTGAAAACACAGCAGGGCAGCACATTTCTAGAATACTCCACAATTCTGGGGCTGTATAAAATTTGGAAGTTTAACTCTCAGTTCACTTATGACACTTGACACCTCCCCATAATTTACAAACTTACTTACATGGCATTTCTACATACCAAGGAGCAGATCCCAGTGAATTTTACAGGCAATATAACACCCATAAAAATCACACCTCGTACCAGAACAAACACCAAGGTAGTGAAATGCTCTATGAGTTTAACTAGAAGCAACGCACAATTTTGAACTGAAACTACATATGTGGACTAGTTTAAACTTGTTCTCAGAAACCAACTGCTACATCTCATTCCTCTGCTAGGGCTCCCCATGGTGCTGACTTATATAAAAGTTAGAAAATAAGCAACCACACCCCTCTGAGGAACTGCCACTTACAGCCCGGAATGGGCATTAAGATATGCTAACTGTTTCTAGGACATTAAGAAAATTCAGTTTAAACATCCCAGCTCATACTGGAAACATGAATCAATATTTCATCCATTACTATCCCTCAAGTGACACTTAATAGATTGAGATAGTGGGGAAAAAAACAAAAAGCTCTATGGCAGTCCTGCCTTTGGGCTGTGGTTTTAGTTAAAATGTTCATTTAATTTCATCATTCCATAAACAAAGCTCTTGATTTTTTTTTTTTGACCGGGGGGGGGGGGGGGGGGGGGGGGAACACCAGCAGGATGAATGTAATGCACAGGCTCTCAACCTTTTCCAGCTCTGGTCCCCTGTCACCCTTGATAAGCTGTCACTCTTGATAAGATGTCATAAGCCCAAATCAGGGCAGCACGGTCAGAAAAAAACCCAACAGATTTTCATTCAGCCAGTGATGCCATTCGTGCCTCTCAATAGCTGGTTGAATGTGGCCGCTCAAACAGTGGCTTCCCAGTTGGCACCAGAGCTACTTTGGGAACTCGCCCTGAGCTATTTGGGCAACAAGTGAGATCCAGAAGCCTGGAGAGGCCCTCGCAGGAGGCAAGTGCACCCGAGGCAGCGGCTGGGGCAGAGGGCAGCCCCCACCTGCCGGCTGGTGCCTCCACATGCCCACGGCCACATGGGGAGGCCGACAGGCAGCTTCGCCTCCACACACAGGTGTCACCCGCCCCAGCAGTTGCCTACTGCCTTCCTAGGGGCTGGGGACTGGCAGGGGCCCGAGGCAAGGCTGCTCTTACAGTGCCAAGCCCCAAAGGGTGCCCCAGGGGCTAGGGAGGGGGCAGCCCCAGGATCCTGCCCGCTGCAGGGCTGAGGCCTGAGGGTTCCTCCACCCCCGCAGGAGTAACGTGGGGGGCAGCACGAGGGCCCGCGGCAGGGAGTGGCGGTTCAACGGGCGCGGGGGGGCGGGGCTCCCCCTCCGAGTGC